TTTACTAGTATCTATTGAATTTTTTTGAGAGCTGAAATAAAATGGCTCGTTTTTTCCCCATTGTCCAACATTCGTTGGCATGTGATTTGCGTTGTGCTTGCTTTTGCTTACCATAGATGGCGTTCGTTTAACTTGATGGTTATTACTTTTGAAGATTGTGGAATTCTTATCTTTCATCTCTCTGCGCGGCAGGTATTGTATATTGTATTTGGCCATATCAGGTTCACTAGCTTGCAGGTACTGCACCAGTCCGCGACTCTCTCTCCATGTTTACTGTTTAGAGTGTGTGAAAATGGTGTGTAAATCTGCCTTGGTAGAGTAGTTCTTTGTCCTTAACTTCCAGTAGGTCGAATTGCAGCGTGGCAGCGCACCACTACACGCGACAACAGCAGCACACTCTCAGCCGCACTGTGAGTGCCGTTGTCATTGGTTGGCCATAGTATTTAGCTCATAAACTTATTCTGCCAATGACAGGGCAAAAATTTATAGTTTCTGGCCCACAAGGTATAAGCTTATTGGCATTGTTCTGGCTATAAATATATAAAATGGGTTTGTATGCTACATTAGTTATTGACAGGAACCAGCCTACTGAGCAGACAAACGCTCATATGTCTTGTCTTTTGCTTTCCAACAGCGGGTGGCGATATAAAGTGCATGTCATGTCTCTTGCCACTCTTACTGGAGGGCGGGAAGAGTGCGCAGATCTGCGCGGAAGGATGCGGTGACCGGAAGCCCGCAGCGAATGCTAAAGACTTTCAACCAGTCCAACAGCTGGCGCGGTCGTGGAGGTCTTAATCGACTATGACGGTGATGATTTAGTGTTGTGGTGACTATATTTGTAGTGTTGAGTTTGGGTCAACAGATGCGTTATATGACATTGGTACTAACAAGCGATAAGTCACACCAGCTCCTCGGACCCGGGCGGGCGCTGCGGACTGCATCGGGGAGAGTCCTTGTGGGGCCTGGACTGCGGCCTGACGGTCCGGGCGCCGTCCCGGAGGTCACAGGGCTCACTTGGCATATGGCACTACCGGCAGCTCATTCCGCAGATACTCCGCCGAGATGTTCTTAAACTGATTTAATATTGCGGGTGATCACCGGGACGGATATCGGGAAGTTCTATCAATCCGGGGTGGTCCTGGACGGTTCACGTGGCGGTCCGTGGTAAGGTCGGGACAGGACCGTGGTAGGTCCGGCAGTCGTAGTGGCACGTGTTGAACCGGCCCAATCCGTGGCCATCGTGTGTTTTTTTGTCGCACGGATCACACGATCAATAGCCGGACCAACCGGACGTTCCACGGATGCGGCACGGTGGCAGGACCGCGGACCGCGCACAGCCGGATCGGTCGTGGCGGTCCTGGCAGTCCGGGGCGGTCGGGCGTGGCGGTCCGTTGTGACTCCGTGCTGGTGGGCCGCTTCATCGGGCTCAATCCAGGATTGGTCCGTGGCGCTGCGTGCTGGTGCGAGCCCGATCCGGCCGGATGGATTGCATTTTTCACGGATTCGCACGCGATTATAAATTTTACTGTTCCGGGGAGATCTGCCCATCGCGGTAATCGTGGACAGTCCGGCCCGCTAGGACTTTAGCTTAAAACTGTAGTCGGACAATGATACGATTGATAACTGTAAGTGGACTAAACATTTATAATGTGTTCTGCTATTATGGCAAATTCTAAATTACTTAAAACTGTGTTCTTATTTTGTTAAATCTTGTAAGGAAGAGAGGCATGCTGTCAGATTGTATTTGGCTGAAGGCAATTGAGGCTGAGTGTCAGGGCGGCGTTGCGGAGTGTTGGAAGAGCCCTACTCATATAACATGGAGTCTCGATATTAGGGTATACATCGATGGTTGTTCCTATTCGCTTGGAGATTTTATTAGATGTAATACTGAATGTTAATGCAAATAATCAAGAGTCATGATTCGAGTATGCGATGTATTAGTGATAAAAACTTGCATGTAAAGCTTTGTAGATACTGGTCCATGCGTTAGGTATGTCAGAACTTATCACGAACAGATACGAAAAAAGACTAAAAAGAAAAAAGACATTAAATTCAAATTGCCTATGCACGTGTGATTTCTGTGAATGTTTTCGACCAAGTTGGAGAGGGATCCGTTGGCGGGTGCGGAAAGTATAGCGGACAACACCAGACGAAATTCCCCAATTTATCGTAAGTGTACAAGATATCTAAGACATGTGTTTTAGAATGCTGCATTTGACACTTTTATGAATAAAATGTTAGTTTTGTGAATTGCTAATTGGTTTTGTGCACATTTCGCCCTGAGGTAACTTATTTTAGAGTGATATTCGAAGTATGGATTACACAATGTGCTTGATTAGTACTCTATACTTGTGCCTGTAATACGTTTGAACCATTTACTATCTTTAAATAAAGGGCAACAATTTCAGAATATAAATGCATATGTCTCGTAGTTGCTGTTTTTCATTTCTGTCATGTACATTTAGTAGATCAATTTGTGTTGTGTTACTACTAGTGGGATTATGGACTATCCAAGAAAGCCACTTTTGAGGTTTCATGTAGGTGAACAATTGGAGGCGCCTGCAATCGTCGTGCTCTACCTAGACCCATTGTCACCGCGTGCTTCTTTATTAAAACCCACGCGCGACGGCGGGATCGTATTCATAATTAGTACCTTGTGAAGGAATAACCCGGCTCGAGGATATAAAATACAGCCACTGATAGACAACTGAACGCAGGAATTTAGATAATACACACATGAATAATATTTATTAATAACTCCCCTCCAATCACTGCACGATACAATCCCGACACCAAATTGGTTATAAATTCGTCATTTTAGTAAACTACCTGACGCTTGCCTACAAGCGCTGTCTCTACATTCGTTAACGTTACTACTCGCTTAATCTGTTGCATCCCGACAACGGAAATATAACCGCGGTATGACAAACTCCTTAACTCCGCGACACATATACTCATACCACGTTAACTTACATTCCCTAACCGCATTACTGTAACGCCGCGATCATTCTTACTCGCAGTATCAACGATCTAAACTATCAACGTTTCTAACTATCATACAAAGAAGTAACCATATTTACGTGAACGCCATCTGGTCGGAGGAGTCTGTTCAGCTTCGTCTCGACTGCTCCCAGCACACTATATCCCGTCTCTCTTAAATCTCTGCTTATTTATCTTACCCAGCGTCCGCGCGTGACCTCTGCTTTTCGGTCAAAGGGTGTACCTGCTTTCTCCCCCCTTGACTATTATTACCCCCTTGACTTTATTTCTCTTCCACTGGGTCAGTCGTGCCATGTCCGTACGCTCCGGCTGACCAGCGGTCTATTATATAACAGTTGTCCGTTCCCGCTCGCACCGTCCTGGGTTACACCATGACGGTGTTTGTGCAATCGCTACGCACCCCTGAAAACGGGGCTTCGTTTCCAGTGGACGGGTTGCTACCACACGGTCTAGTCCAGTTAGGACCAGTAGCAGATAGGGTTGAACAGCACACAAGCACTCTGCCTCAACACGAATGAGTTTG